CAACCATGTTAAATCACCATTATTCACTCAAATTTTTATGGCACTTTAGACACACTGCAGCAAGTTCCCATATATATATATTATATATATATATAATATATATATATACATATAAAGCATGCAACATGGAAGGTTCCATTTGACTAGATCTAGTGTTGTCTCACTCAAATATTGTACAGCGGAACATACAATGGCTATATGGATAATCTTAATCAACATGCAGCATGAAACATATTCCATTTAAATCAATCTGAAGGCATTCCACACAAACTCATTCAGCTGATGATGCAGAGTAACCCTTTAGTCCGATTTTACTTATATATAATAAAAGAAAAAGCACACTTAAAACTATCAGCCGACAACATGCAAAGGTTATTTGACAAATAAAACATCTCACTCAAATCACCATTCACACATACTTCCAAAAGTGATCCAGCCGAGAGCATGAAGGTCATTCATCAAGCAAAAAATCTCACTTAAAACACAAAACCAAACACATTAAAGTTCAGCCAAAAGCATAAGAAAAACCAATTTAAACCAAACTTCGCAATTTTCTTAAACTTTCATCAAGACATTTAAAATAGAATCACAACTTAACATGCAAACATGGATTTAAGCTTTTGGAAGAAGATTTGATTAATCCACTCACTCTTCTATCCTATAGTTGGTGCCTATTACAGTGCTTAGATTTCGATCTCCACCGTTCAGAATGTAGGCTGTGTTTCATGAACAACATATCCGAAAATCGCACGATCGGACGGCGAATGAGCTCAGATCAACGATTTGATGATTCCACTGTTCACAGACTTAACTAATAAACTCTCCCTTTCTCTTTGTTTCTCTCCTTCTCTCACTCTATCTCTCGGCCCCAACCACTTTCTTCTCTTCTCTCTTTTTTTTTCTTTCTTTTTCTTTTCTTTCTCCTTCTCTCTCTCTTCTTTCTTCTTCTCCTCTCGTTTTCTTCTTCCTTTGGGGAACGCCCAGTTTTTCCTTTAAATAAAAACAGCTTTCTAAATTATTTCTGCCCCCCATTTTTCTCTAATTTCCAGTTTAACCCAGCCACATAAGCTTTCCCTAGCAAAAATGTCCAAATTTTTCCCTCTTGATACATGCAAACCCATCAGGATTTATTTCTTCGATTTCACCCCCTTAACACAGCTTTAAAAACTGACAGAAATACCCCTATCTTACCACAATACCAAAAAAAAAATCAAATTAATTAAAAAAAAAAAAGAATTAATTAACTTAAATACAATTCATGATCTAACTAAAATCAGGAATGGGTTTTACATAGATCGTGTCGAAATAATTCTTCTAATCGAGTTTTTATGATATGTGATAGCATTTTTAGGTATCATATATTGCATCCATGATGGGTTTGAAAATGAGATGACACACTATTGATGGGTAACAAATGCACCAATTTATTAATTTCATTAGATTATTTGTGGCAATGTCATATATTTTTAAACTTTCTTTTTTATCAATATTGCCACCTCCATTGTAGGTGATACAAAATGGAAAAGAAAGCAGGGAATTGTGAATTAAGTGATTCGCATTCATCAAAGAAGTAGTGCTCATTTGTTTACATACAAAATGAAAAATGCCAATCTGGCAATCCGTGTGACACTGTCAAGTCATCAACAACAAACACGAATCATAAACAAGAAATGGTAGTTATTATTATTGTTTCAGGAATAATGTTATGCTTACAATTGAGTCATACAACCAGACAAAAATTTTACAAAATTCATGTAAAACAACTACTTTGTCTTATGTTTTTTGTCTGGTTGTAAGACATAGTTGTAAGCGTAGCATTATTCTTGCTTCAGAAGCAAATTGACTTTGTTACGAAAAAGCAGAGTTTTAGACGACCTTTGTTCCAATGCACCGCTAAATTGATTGGGCCAAACCACTTTAGAATTCTTGTGTTTCGTTTGCTTTATTTTTTTTTTTTTTGTTGCTTGCCATAATTTTGTGTTTGAGTTGTGGGAATATTTTTCAATAAGTGGTATCAAAGCCCACAGTTTGTGATCTGGGAGAAGACAAGCTCTAAAGGAGGCTGGATTTAAGAGTAGATCAGTGACTATCAAGCATCTCAAATTTTCTAGAGGTATGTCTAAGTTTGAGGTTCTTTATTTGATGGTAAAATTAATTTTATGTTATGGAAAAGTACGATACAAGACCTTTTGGTACAACAAATTTCTTGATCAAACATTAGAAGAGAGTAAGCCAAAGAAGATGTCTGGTAGAGAATGGAGTAAATTCAAAGGAGAGCTATCAGTATAATCAGATTGGCTTTAGCTCCAGAGATAAAGTATAGCGTGCTGACTGAGTCTACACCAAAGGGTTTGCGGGAAAAATTGGAGGGTACTTATGCATCGAAATCGTTGACTAACAGACTATGTTTCAAGATGGATTTGTATTCTCTGAAGATGGATGAAGGTACTAGTCTCCATGATCATTTTAATAGGCTAGTATCTCAATTGTTGGCTAATTCTGATGAGTTAAAGGATGAAGAAAAGGCATTGATATTGTTGTCATCTTTGCCTAAATATTATAGACCTTTAGTTCAAACTTTGTTGGTAGGCAGATCTACTTTAAAATTAGATGATGTGACTACCTTGTTGCGTAGGAATGAAAGTTTATGGGATCAAAGAACTCATCACTTAGAGGAGATCTACTAGTTGCAGAAGGTTCTAATTGAGGGAGGACTCAAAAGAGGAGGCGATAAATCAAAAGTAAGAGATTACAGTAATAACGAGTGTTATTATTGTGGAGAGAAGAGACATATCCAACCACGCTGTAAGAAATTAAGAGGGGATATGCTTGCTTTCAAGAAGGCTCAACATATGAAGGATTCGAAGGATGATGCTTGGATTGCTGATAATGAAGATGAATTTTTAGTAACATGTCAAGATGAAACTCAAACTTCAAAGGGTGAAAAAGGTTGGGTTTTAGATTCAGCTGCATCCATGCATGTTTGTAATGGTAAAGATTGTTTAATTTGTTGAATTGAAAAAAGATGAAAATTATGGAAATATTTTTGTCAGTAATAACGAGAAAGTGAAGATTGAAGGCGTTGGTAGCGTTCGTCTCAAGCTTCACAATGGTGTTGTCAAGAAGCTTCGTCATGTGAGGTATATACTGAGTTGTAGTCACAATTTGATTTCTTTGGGTAAGTTGGCTTCTCGTGGATATACCTACATTGGTCAAAGAGATGGATGCGAAGTGTATAAAGATGATGTTATGATTTTGCAAGGCAAAAAGAATGAAAAACAACTATATTTGCTTGATGAAGGTGTGTGTCTTAAGAAATCAAGAGATAATGTTGTTCCAATTCCAGTTGTGAAAGAAAAGAAGACTGTCAATAGAGTATGATTTTTAGATGCTGCTATAATGTTTGGGGATTCAGGTCAAGGGAGGAATTGTTGGGATTGTGCCTTGAATCCCATACTACTTAGGAATGAGAGTTGCAAGGGGAATCTACCCTTTAAATAGACTAATAGATTAGGCTTTAAAAGTATCTTAAAAAGTGTAAGATAGACACCAAAAGAATAGTCATTATGGGCTGTTATTAAGGGTGTAATTGGGCTTTTTGGGATAATGTAAGGAGTCTGCAATTTTTCTCTTCTAAAAATCGCACAATTGTAAGCTTTTGCTTAATGGATTGTTTGAGTGAATAGTGGACGTAAGCTAAATTGATTGAGCCGAATCACTTTAAAATTCTTGTGTTTAGTTTGCTTGCTTTTTTTGTTGCTTGCCATAATTTTGTGTTTGAATTGTGGGAATCTTTTTAAACAAAGGTGAGTTGAAGCTTGTCTCAAGTTGCTGTTTCTTTCTTCTAGCGAGCTTGCCTCAATACCACCCTTCTAGCGAGACAAAGAAGTAAGTTGAAGCTTATCACAAAGAAGTAAAGACCGAGCTGCGGAGAGAGAATTATGAAACAATGACAACCGTATCTTATTTGTGTGACTGAAAGCAAATTATACATAAAAACAATATTCAATATATGCATACATAGATAGATAGTTAATTTACTAGATAGAGAATCCATGAAAATTTGAAGAATCGAACAAATTAAACTGTTAGTTTGTCAAGGAACGTTTTATATGAATGGCCTTGCCTTAGCTATATATACAAGAATTCCTTAAATAGTTGACCAATCTTCACACGTTAGGTGATGCATGTGATCAAATAAAAGCATGGAGATGCTTCTAACATTAGCATAACCTTAAAGCAAAGGTTAAAATCACTAAAAAGTATAGGGATCAGTTGAGCAATGAAACTGTANGAAGTGAAATAGGCTGCATGTTTTTCTATTTGGAGTATCCTTTCCTTCTTACTACATATGTTTTGCTGAAAGTCGGAATTTTTTTTAGCTTTCAAATTTATATTTTTCTCGCTTACACTAGATAGTATTGTTGCTGGGGTTTTATTGTTTCACCATTCCATCTTAGCTTCTTATGATTCTGATATACCTTCTGTCAATATAGTCTATAAGTCAAGGGGGCATAAAAAGGGAGCACTAAGGGGAAATGAGTGTGAGTGAGGGTTGTTACACTAAGGGGAAATGAGTGTGTATGAGGGTTGTTACAGTTTGTTACGGGATTCTGCATGCATGTGGCTGAATAGAATAAAGTTATTAGAGTAAGGGTAGTATAGGAAGTAATTGGGTATAAATAGCTAGGGTGTGGTAAAGGAGGTATCAAGTTGATTCAGATAAGTGTTGTGGGAGGTCTCCAGCTCCTCGAATTGCTGGGAATTGTTCCGGGTTCACTTTTCTTGCTACTGTTATTTCATTCAGCTTCAATATTAACCTTCAGTTTAATCCAATTAAGTGTTATTTCGATTCTGCTCTTGTGTGTGTGTGTTGGGATTGAGTTGCTTGAACAGGTGGTTCCATCAAATTCCAAGTTGACAATTGCTTACATTTTTGCTTAATGTCTCTCCAATTTAGCATGATATTTAAGTTGCTTCCTACTATTTGCTTATTGCAGTCACACCTTGTGTTGGGATTATCATGAACTCAGATTCAGATCTTGCTATTATGAATGACGCTGCAAAGATCTTGAGCATGTGTGGAGCATGTGTGGTGTACCTTACAAGTTTGCATAGTCGTGTTTTATAGTTTACTTTTGAAATTATGTATAAGGTATCTTTTTGTATAATCCAATGCTAACTCTGGAAATCGTATATACTATGAGTTTTCAGATTAGAACAATTTCAGCACATCGAACTCCTAGAATGATGCTTGATTATGCCTTATCTGCTCCGGAGTGAGGCATTCGGACCATCATTGCTGGTGATAGTAGTGCAGCCCACTTGCCAGGCAGGTTTATACATTCTGCTCTATGTATAGTGAAGTAATGCACAAACGGTCTTACAGGAATTATGTGCTCTTTCTTAATATTTAGGTAGTGATTGGTGTCCCTTTGCGTGCTTCAGCATTGGATGGACTCGATTCACTCTTATCAGTTGTTCAGGTAGACTGTAGTACAAAAATGTTTCTTTTTCTATCTTATCCTCTTTAAATACTATGAAATGGATATTTTAGCACATCTCCAAAATTCAGAACTGGAACCTAGAAGGTGCCCTTTTATTGTTGTTTGCTTTCTTGAGATTTTTTTTTTATCTATTGAAAAGCTTTTATTGCTTTCTTCAAAATGACATTTGATTTATTTATTTAACATGATTTGTCTATCTACAATGTGCTTAGTAAAAGCTTTGCTGTTTGATTATTCAAATGCCTAGAGGTGTTCCAGTTGCAACAGTCGCAATAGATAATGCAAGAAGTTCAGGCTTATTGGCAGCAAAAATGTTGGGAGTAAATGGCAATGTTGATCTACTTGCAAGGTTGGATCCTCTCTCTTTGTGGTTGTAAATAATTGCAAATTTAATTTTATAATAAATAAATAAAAATTAGATGAATTGTATTAATTCCAAACTAATAAAATTATAATATTGCTCTCTCTTGTTGAAATACGGCCTATTAAACTATATAACTTTCATGTCGTTCCAATTTATGATATTGGAATGTTATTTGCGAGTGAGCCAATATCAGGAAATGCAGGGGATGATGTCTTGGAAAAAGCAGAGAAGTACAGGAAGGGGTTGGTCATTTTATTGAGTCCTTGGGTACCTCAATGCTTTTTGGTGATTTATATTTAAATATGGTTTCTCAGCTTACATAAGTTTAAGTTTGTTGAATAGTATACTTGAAATCAGAAAAATTAGTATTAGATTTTATCAAGCCAGATTGAAAAACTTCTATAGTATTCTTTCTTCAGTCAGCTCCATCTCTTTGCTGAAACTATTGTCCTTTGATCTGGGTTTGCAAATAATGATACTATTTACCCCCTTTCCCCAATTGAGGGTTGCGATGTTTGATTCATATTGGCATTTATTGGTGGATTATACTGTAACAACAGTTGTAAACAACAGTTGTTTACATTGGTTATGATTTGTAGCTGGATGCACTTTTGCTTAATGCTTCACCATTGAATTGAGAAAGTATGACACTGAAATTCTGTTATTTGCTTATACAGTTACCCCACATGTTGAGATAATTTGGGCTCTGATCAGATCTTCCTGTTATGAAGGATGCTGGTAAGATCCTTAGCTTATTTGATGTACCTCATAAGGTTAACCTTATGTTTTATGCATGTATATATTTTCAGCCCTTGATGTGGATATTCATCTGTGTATAATCTATTTCAACCTGACCTTTTGTAATTATAATTCTCAGGTTAAAATAGTTTCAGTGCATCGGACTCCTGAAATGATGTTTTCTTATGCTTTTCTGCTCAGGATCAAGGCACCTCCATTACCATTGCTGGTGCTGGTGGTGCAGCCCACTAATAACATTCTCCTATAGAGTATCATAATCCACAATTTTTGTGTGGAATTACATCAGCTCGGATGAACTCTAGGTATGGTTGCTGCCCTTACTCCCTTGCCTGTTTGGGGGTTCCTGTGCGGTCTTCTGCATTGAATGGAATTGATTCACTCTTATTCAATTGTGAGGTAGTCTGTTTATTTAATCGTACTATTATATTTATAGGAGACGTGTAATGTCAGAATATCATCTCCTATGGTCTTAAATGTTTATGAAATTAATCTATTGGCACCCAAAATTCATGTATGATATATCTAAGAGGTACCCTTTTGGTTTGTCGGTTATAAGAATTTTTGTTAGCCAGGGGCTAATTACATTGTAGTCTTTGGGATATGTTTAGTGAAATTACTATTCAGTAAGTTTATTTTCTTGACTCATGTAAGCTCTAGAAACATCATGAAGCTATTATGTTAGGCCTCATTTATTGGATCTGTAACTTCACGGCACTAGAGATATTTAAATGACAGAATGACATAAAAACTACTTAAACCTGTTGGCGTATCCATGATGACTTCCCTTGCACAAAAGTAATGTCCAATGTATAGCTGACATACCAATTATTGCTTGTATCAATTTCTTCAAGATATCATTATATGTTATATTAGTGCTTTCAGAATTTTTTTTTTTTTTTTTTTTTTTTTTCCCATACTGATAATTCTAATTGATATTCAGATGCTGGGGATGTCCCAGTTGCAACAGTGGCAAAAAGTGATGCAACGAATGCGAGTTTGTTAGCAGTAAGGACGTTGGGGGTTGGCAATGCTGATCTACTGGGAAGGTGGGTTTATAGATAATTCATAGTTTGATTCAAAGGCCAAACAGATATAATAATAATACTACTCTTTTTGTATTAAATCGTGATTCATGAAAATAGTAATTTAATGATTTTCCTTTGCTCCTGCTCATTGATGTTTTAAGCAGAATGAGCCAATACTTGAAAGACATGAAGAACGATGTCTTGACAAAAACTGAGAAGCTAGAGCAAGATGGTTGGGAGTCTTAGTTGAATCATTAACTATGTTAAGCTGTTATGGAGAGGGTCTTTTTTTTTTTTTTTTTTTTTTTTTTGTCCACTAACAAGTGAAAAAGTCAGTTACAACATTTGTGATTATAAATCAATAAGATTGACTCATAATCCAATCTTACAAAATTTCTCTCACAATCTTGACATGATTGTTGGAGTTGTCGACTACTTCCGCCTAATGGGTTGGGCTTAAGAATAAGAATCCTTGTAAAACTAGGTTTATACTCTTAAACCTAGTATATAAACATATTTCTCTGTATAGAAAGAGAGCAATTCATTCATTAAACGAGAGAGGTGAGACATATTGCAAAATATTGACTCAGCTGAACGTAGCACACTTGGGTGAATTAGGGTAAAATCGCACGTATTATTTTTTGGTACTGTTTGTTTTGTTTTACTATATATTTGTTCGTTGTTGTTCTATTTGTTCAATGAAATCACAATTAGAGAGATGGGACCCATAGCAAGCAGGCGGGATCCGTTTGCCAGTTGTCATTTCAGGATTATGAGAGAAAGTTGTGAGATTAGATTGTAATTATAGTATTGTCCTTACAGATAAACTGGTAACTCTAATAGGACAGAAATGTAGCAAAGATCATTGTAGGGAAAAAGGTCGAGGAAGAGGCAAGCTTTTTGTCTGGGATTTTGTTGCCATAAGATGGGTTTAATTGATAAATTAAAATCAGTTTTTCCTGTACGGTTTGGTAACCATTTAATGATATAGTGGAGAGAAAATGGAAGGACTACTAGAGATTGAAATATAATCTTAAAAGAATATGAATTCATTATAAAAGAGCTGCTTTATAATGAATGTTAAAATATTAAGGAATAAATTTTAATAATGGTTCTTTGTGAAGTCCTAAAAAGATATGCTCATAGATTAATTGGGTTTATCCTTTTTAGAATAAAATTAAAAAGAAAAGTACATTGGAAACCTATCTTATTAATGACCCGGACAACAGCAACCAAAATACTTTAATGTGGGTAGTACTTTGTAAAGATTGTATACAAAATTATGCAGTGGAATTGCCCTTTAATTAAAATTTCCTTTATTTTCATTTTATGAGTTGATTTTATATTTTCACTTGTATGCTAAATTCCTAAATTGTTTTCATTGAAGTAGCTGTTTACCGAATTTTAACAGATTTTCAAAGCTGATGAGCTTTTTTCAAATATCGCCCCTCAAGCGAAACAACAAGTGAACTAAGATGTACAAGTTGCTGTTCTTTCTTCAGGCATATTCTCTAGTTAGTACATTCTTTTATTTAATAGTGATCGAGCACGATCATCAGAATTAATATCATGATGTGCCTATTGAGAATTTCCAATATAGAATAAACCTTAATCTACCAGGAAAGCTCCAACCTATGGATATAGTACCATCCAGCTCTCTACCAGAGATACGGGAGTAACAGTCGGGCTTTCACGAAAGTTCGGCTTCACCGCCCATGTCAGGGCAGCTAAAGAGCAAAAGTAACTAATTTTTTTTGGTTGGATGACTTTGTGCCTATTTTACAAAAGGATGCAAAGTCCTCACAGTTGTTAAAAGCAAAATTGTAGTCAGCAAAGGTCCTTATTCCTTGGAAAAACTCAGTGGCAGTCTTCACCCTCATCGGGCGGCTTGCAGTCAGTCGGGTTAATAATATATATGAGTGGCCATCAAGAAAGCAATCCAGGCACGTTTTGACGATCCCACCATGTAAGCTGGTGTGCCCACATTTTGGCATGGGGAAGAAGAGTTACTTTGCTTTGCAAGTGGTAGCAAATGAATGACCATGCTGTCCCCCACATATATTGTTATAACAAGGGAGTTCTCGATGAAAGAGAACATAAATACATATACAATATGATTATATGACTTTTATTGAATTGAATAATATAAGATAAACAATTTAGAATATATGGAGTCTATGATACTTACCTACCAAATGATCAGTAGTACACAAAAATATAACGAGATTACAATAATTCCACTGAAAATTTTGCCAATGCAAAAGTGGTGAAAAATTGAGTTGATATACATTAAAATTGACGAAAGCTTAGATGGTGTCCGTTATCAACACTTATATAATAATACAGGTTTGGTTTTGGAAAGTGAAATATGTATATGTATTGTATATATATATATACTTCCAATTAGAAAGTTTAAAGAGTGTGAAAACTGAAAAACTTACGTGATGATAGTAGGCATCTGTTACTAGCGATCTGATCACCAGGTTGGGGCCTCCGTGGCTGGCTTGAACTTTGTCCCATCTTAATAAAATTTTCCCTTAATTTCAATTTGTGATTAGAGATTATCTGCTTTCTAATAAACCATTACAAATTTATAGATAGATGGAGGAGAAACGAAGGACTATTAGAGATTGGAATATATCTTAAAAATGATATGAATTATACAAAGGAATTTCTTTATAATAAATATTAAAAACTGAAGGAAAATTTTAATAATGGCTCTTCTGTGAAGTCCTATTGAGATATGCCCATAGATTAATTGAGATTTTTCCTTTTCGAAAAGAGTAAAAATAAAAATATATTGGAGTATCTCATTCTAATAGTAAAATTTTGAAGAGAAGTGACAAGCCTATCTATAATGACCATGGATAAGAGACAACAAGTTAACGTGGATAGTATTACTCTTACAAAGTTTGTAATAAAATTAAGCATAAAAAGTCATGTGGAATTGTCCTTTAATTAAAATTTCGTTTATTTCATTAATGAGTTGTTGTTATTATTTTCACTCTTCCATTATTGTACGACACGTCATTTTGTATGCTAAATTTGGTTAAACTTATTAAGACTAGTGTTTCAAATCCAGAAGTTGTTTTCATGACTGTATAGTGTAAGAAGAGAAGCACATATAGAATCATTTAAGTTGAAAGGTCCATGAACTTCCAAGAATGTGAATTGTGATGTCACTACTGGAAATTTTGTCTTTATGACGCGAGAAACTGGCATGGCATTT